CAAAAATGAATAGTTAAAAAAAAAAAAATTTTTTTTAAACAAATTTTTCAAATGTTTATTTTTAAGAAAGAGAGATGGAGGGAGGGAGGGAGGGAGGGAGGGAGGGAGGGAGAGAGAATGAGAATGAGCGGGGGAAGGGCAGAAAGAGAGGAAGACACAGAACCCGAAGCAGGCTCTAGGCTCTGAGCTGTCAGCACTGAGCCCAACATAGGGCTTGAACCTGCGAACCGTGAGATCATGACCTGAGCCAAAGTTGGATGCTTAACCAAATGAGCCATCCAGGTACCTGAAAGAATAAAATTTTTAATGAAATTTAGGTTTGAAAATTTGAGAAATTAGAGATAGCTGAAATAAAGACGTAAACAAAAGTAACGGCAGAACCTGTATAGGCAGATTTTATATACACAAAGATTACACTGATGATAAATTTCACAAATTTGAATATAACAAAATTAAACTGTTAAACAAGTCACATGATCCCACTTAAGAGTATTTCAGTAATTTACTATTTTTTTTTAAGTTTTATTTAAGTAATCTCTACACCCCACGTTGAGCTTGAACTCAGGACCCCAAGATCAAGACTCACAAGCCCTTCCGACTGAGCCAGCCAGGCACCTCTCAGTAATTTTTCTTAATGGAAACATTTAGGAATTAGTTAACTGTACCATCTACAAAAAAAATTTGGCCAAGAAATCAAACTGACTTAATGGAATCTTACTCAGAAATTATATTCTTCATAGAAATATAGGGAGACAGAATTGTTTTTCAGTGATTACACATTAAATTAATAACCTCATTAAGCATCTCACCTGGTATTTTGTAAGCCACATTTTGTAAAGGAAGAAAAATATCAAACCCCTGTGAAATCGGTCCTGAGAGCCTCAGAGAAATCAGATTTTATCTTTACGCATTTCAATCAAGTAAATAAAACAGTAAAGGGTTTTTCTTTCCTCTCTGAAAACCTGAATCAGTGGAATCATTCTGATAAGTATATGCTGGAAAGTTAATGCATTTCAAAGATTCTACAAGTTGGTTATAGACATGCAAAAGCTGCAAGATCAACCTTCCTTTCACCTCAAAGTTGTAGGTGTTCTGGTTTTTGGGTTTTTTCTTGTTTTTTTGGTTTTTTTTTAATCATATCTACACCAAACGCGAGGCTTGAACTCATGACCCTGAGATCAGAAGTCACATGCTCTACAGACTGAGCTGGATGGGCACCCCTCAAAGTCGTAGGTTCTGAATCAATGATTTTCTCTCTCAAGTGTCATACCACTGGCTTTCCAACTCTGTACTCTCAGCAGGAAATAAGCAGTCTTCTATTCAACTAACTTAAAAGTCTTCACCCTCTGCCTTTCACTGGAGCTTTAACCTCCCTCCTCCCCACGTGGTGGTGTTCTGGGCTCTGCTTGCTTCTGTCACTTCACCAAGTAGTCCATATCCTGGTAATCTTTTCACACATATCAATTTCCAACCAACTATATACACTTCAAACAATTATAAACCACAAATGCGGAACAGGCTTTGGCTCTCCAAAACCTGGCATCGAATGGAGATTTCTCACCCTGAGCAATGTTTATCCCTTAGTAACTTTCAAAGCTTTGTGAGAAGCCATCTCGAAGGGTAGTGCTAGTCACGGTGTTATCAGCACCCAGATTACCCGGCCGATTCAGATTCGGCCTCTTCCGCTCACTTCCACAGCCACATCCACCAGGCTCCCAGAACTGCACTGGTAGGTTCCTCCAGTCCTTCTAGCTTCTTTTAAGTCTCTTCTCTTTTCCCATTGATAATCTTCCCATCACAATTTTCTCCCTGAACCTTCTCTAAAATCTGCTCTCGTCCTCTTCATTCACATCCTCCACCTCCTCCAGCAGTCTTCGCTGGTGCCAACACCCCTTCCTTCCGCACCAGACCCTCCTGGAGGAGAACACGGCCCAGTCTGGCTTGGGGACCAAAGTATGTATTGTCTTCACCTCAGCATAAGTCAGTATTAGTATCAACTTTATAGAACTGCTTGAAAAGTTTAAGGATTTTTCAGGTTGAGATCATGGAGAGAGAGGCAAGGAAGCTGCAGGTGTTTGAAAAAGGAATATTGAAGTGATATAGCATGGAATCCAAGCTAGACAAGGCAAGCTAGACAAGGAAGGAAGTGCAGATGGAAAGTACTGGAGAGACACTGGTAACAGATGGAAAACTACCACAAAGATTTGGTGTGAGGCTCACATGGATCGGTAAAAACAGCCACTAATGTCCAACATCCCTGAGGTACGGTTCCCAACTATTTAATAGGCCAAACACTTTATTGAAGTAGTCATAGAACTCTGGGAGGGGCAGAGAAAGGAAAAAAAAAACAAAAAAACTGTAAATGAGAAAAAAATTTCTTCACTCTAAAAATTATCTGTTATAATCAACGTTAAAAGTAATGTCGTTTTACCTAAACACAAACAAAAACAAAAGCCTGAAATTCCAAAAGATAATTACTTTTCTTCAAGATATTCACACTAACCATTATTAAAGGGCAGACCACATTAACAAGGCTTACGGAAAAAAAAATCCTACTTCTTCAAGCATGGGGCATGAACTCACGACCCAGAGATTAAGAGTCGCCCTCTCTACCAACTAACTGAACCAGCCAGGTGCCCTAATCCTCCTAGTTTTTGAAACATTTTTTTCAAGGAAGTATGAATAGTTCCCTCCGAAACTCCAACCTCCCTGTCCCACCATCCAAATACACACATTTAATATAAACTCTCCTGCCCTTGTCACATGCTGTCACATGCGTTTTACCCCATTTACAAAACATTACTCACAACTGTATACATATCCAGTGGGACTTTTAAACATTTTCTTTTAGCAAGAAAAGAACACTTGAGTAATTTCATGAATTCTAATCATATGCAAAAGAATGGTCAAAAAATGTAATCTCTATGTGGCACTTAAAAGTATAAAACGCGAGGGGCACCTGGGTGGCTCAGTCAGTTAAAGTGTCCGACTCTTGATTTCATCTCAGGTCCTGATCCCGGGGTCGTGGGATCCAGCCCTGCAATGGGCTTCACGCTGGGTGTGGAACCTGCTAAAGATTTTTTCTTTCCTTGTTTTCTTTTTCTTTCTTTCTTTCTTTCTTTCTCTCTCTCTCTCTCTCTCTCTTTCTTTCCCTGCTAAAGATTTTCTTTCTTTTCTTCCTTCCTTCCTTTTCTCTCTCCCCGCCCCCCCTTTGCCCCCTCCCCTGCTTGTGTGCGTTCTCTCTCAAAAAAAATAATAATAATAATAAAATAGGCATGTCTTTTAAAAAAAATAAAAACAAGAAAGTGAAAGTGTAAAATGTGACTGAATTTCCCCAAGAAGCTCAATAAAGTTCCTGACATTTTATGGCTCAAGCCCTGTGACCTGCATTCCTCGCGGGACGAAACACCAAACCCAACTGCTGAGCAGTAGCTACGCAGAAGGGAAACCCCAAAAACCGGTCATCGTTCTCAACCTGCCTAAACTGTTTTGCCATTGATCTAGATGAAGGCTCGGAATACACGCTTTCACTTCTGTGAAAGACACTGAACTCGGGGACATCACTGACCGGAAAATAACCGCCAAGGTTTTTCAAGAGCAAGTGCAAAACAAATGAACGGGCTAACGGAGCTACCCCGACACAAAGTGCCACAAGAGACTGAGAGGAGAGGAAGAAGCGTAGTGCGGGGGGCTCCGCGAGAACGCGTGGCACACGTACACACAGCATGACCTTCTCAATAACAAACCGAAGCCAGGAAATGTCGCACAGCGGGTGTTTAATGTGGCCGGGGTCCGCTACTCCCCGTGTCCTTGGGCACTACTCCCCCTCGGCCGGACCCCGTCTAGGCACCGCGTTCGAGCTGCACTAGGAATCCGGACACCAGCACTCGCTCGCAAGGAACCCATGCCAGCGAGAGGGGTGTGCGGAGGAAGGGGACCCCCCTCGACGCCGCTTTATTCCTGGGACACTCCAAAGGTCACAACCTAGAGGCCGCTGGAACGGGAATAAAGGAAACTTCCCAACAAGCCTCTCTCCTAGGACGAGGCCGGACCTCCGGCCTCTCAGCTCCTGCCGACGGCGGAGCCGAGGGGAGACCGAGGGGGACGCCCGGGGTCCCTGGAACGGACCGACCCCAGCCCTCGCCCCGCAACAGGGCGCGCGGGCTCGGGAGGAGTCGGCGGGGGCGCAGGGCGGCCAGGCCCCACCCGCACGCCCCCAACCCCGCTCGGAGACCGCGGCCCGCCTGCACCGGGGCCATAGTCCCGGGAGGAAAATGATCTCCCGGAACTCACCTGTCCTGCCGCCGCCGAGCCCGCCGACCCCCAATGACAACCGGGACGTGTGTTACCGCCCGTCCGGTCTCAACCTCGCGGCACTCGACACACACTGGGAGACGCTGGACACCAAGTCTCCGCCCTGACACGGCCCCGCGACCCGGCACCCTGACGCCCCGCACTTCCGGCACCG